AAGAGCTAAGTACCTTTAGTCAAAAGTACTTACACCCTACGACAGATTTGTCCAGACTTCTTTGGGGTTGCAGAGAGGATCAGCGATTTGGTATGCTGTCGAAACGAGTCTCACCACTCTGAGTTCATACGATTGTGTCAGTACATGTGACTGGGCATCTGGATGTGAGCAAGTGCACAAGGAGGTGCTGAAACACATGATGTGCCTGGACAACTCTACTAATTTAGGGCTTAGATACAGAATTTTTAACAAGTCAAATGAAGAGAGGGTATTTTTATGCTGCAGTTATTTCAGCAAAATCCTATCCTTGAGATAGCTTTAAGAGAGAGCTTTGTCTCTTAAGCTTTTCTGCTATTCTTCTGCCCTTGGGCACTGCAGAACATCCCATCCTGCCTATGACTCAGGCCAAACATCCGCCTGTCATTTTAATTCAGACCTCTGTCTAGCTCTTCATGCTTTGGTTATGTCTCTGTTAAAGGCTCCTTTCTGCATAGTATCTTCCATGCAATTAAAAACCCTCATTCAGGTTCCTGTTACCTCACAGCTGGAGCATTGCTCCTGTTCTGTGCCCTGCAAATGCAGACCTATGGAGTTAATGGGACCTGCTGAAGGAAAGGGACAAAGCCCCAGCCTCCACACATCTGTCTTCTAGGCCATGAGCTCATACCTCTCTGTGGTCCAGCACCCAGCACTGGTGCCCACAGAACTAGCACGGGGACAAGAGTGTTCCTTTGTACACTGGAGACATGTAGCGTCTCGTCTTATGCCCTGAATCCTACTCACTCTTACTCAATTCAGATTTATATTGGTGGATCAATCAGTACGTAATTTTAAAACAGCTTGTGTAAGCTTACTAGATTCCTCTATCAAATGGTGCAATTACATTTCAACATTGCTTTACAGCCTGGATGTGAGTAACATTTTGATAACCCAACGAGGCGTTTCAGAAACGTGGACCTTCTCCATGTAAATAAACAGACAAACTCTCTGACACCTTCCTGTTGTATTTTATGCAGTCATCTCCTAGAAGTACTGGATGTTTTATTTCTGTGTGCCTACGAGAACTGTGAGTAGTTATAGGAGAAAAAGTAGAAAAGAGCAGTATAGAGTTGTGCTTCAAGGCTAAAGCAAGCTTGAATCTTAATGCAGCAGCTTTTCTCATTGTAACTTTAGCTTCTGTTTCTTTCAAAAAGATTTAGCAGAATGCAGTGAATAAAATATGGCCACCTCTCTTCTTCATTAAAGATAGGAGAATAAATGTAACAGGAGAGGTACAAAATACCAGTTCCAAAAGCTCTTCTGAGGTGTCGTCTTCTGGCTAAGGTGGAACCCAAAGCCAAGTTGAAATACTCTTTGTTGATTTTCACTGAGCAATGAGGGATTGATACGCTAGGAATAAGCTGACCAGCTGCTTTGACTTACGGAGGACTTCTGTAACAGTCCAGGGATAGAATCGCCACTTTCTTTCTTGGATTAAATGGTAAAAGCTATCAGTGGACAGCTCAAAACACACAGTTTGATATTCTTGGGGCTTTTACTCTGAGCTGCGTTTGTCACTCATTCGGCAATCTGAGAAGTGCAGATTAGTTTGACAGGTTCAAAGATTCTAGTTCTAATGCAGGCTACAGGGACTTAAATACATATATGATATGCTAAAATGTATTTACCTAGGTGTCAGTTTGAGTTCTTGTCGGCACATCAACATTAAATTACATTTAAATTGCAAAGTCACCTATGAACTTGAGATATTTCTAACATGTGAACATTTTAAATTGTAGTCATTTATATTTAGATTTGGGAGTGTTTCTTTAGCATCTTAACTACTGCTTTGAGACCTAATTTTAGACACACCCATTTGAAAACATTGGCTTTGATTTCTCATTGTTTAAATTGCAAAAGGATATGTGTTTTAAAAGTGCTTTAAAATCTTAGGATCAGAGAACTTATATAATTATTAATAATTTAATTCATTATTCATTTTAAATGCATTATTTAATAGTAAAACACTTTTTCCTGTTCTATTGTGTACCAGTTAGTTTGCTGCCTGCACTTCATTCATCTTGGAAGCCGGAGAACAACCCTTGTGCCTATAGTTAAGCTTCTTTGCAAATACATAATTGGGTTGGGGGTGAAGATAGAAAAGTCAGGATGAAAGTGCTAAGTACTACTGCCAAACAAAATTTTTGTTTCTTCTTTTTATCCAATTTAGATTAAAAACCATAGGTAGAAGGAAAAAGTATTTCCATTAACTCTGCTGCTAGCTGAGATGTGTCCTACCCAATTTTCACAGAACTGTGGGAGAGGTTCACTTTTAAACATTAGTGTTAATAATTTCTTTCCTGTTTTTCTTTAGTAAAAAAACCTTTTCTCTGTACTTTTTAAAAACAGTGTGAGACATTTCAGCAATCTAATACAATTTATCCACAGAATGATGGTACCAATAGTATATTTGTGTTGTCTGATGTCTAATCAACACTTTTATCAGGTAACAGTAAGAGATACCATCCTATTTAGAAGGGTCTGATGTGGAGAAAATATTTCATTTTTTCCTGAAAAGGAACGTAAATTATGTACAAATTAAGCCCTGCCCTTTTTTGGCTCCTAGCCCAGCCACCAGCTACAAAGGAGCAGGAACAGCAAAAGGGCCTGAACACACGTGAGCATCTCTGTTTGTCAGAGACTACCTGATGCCCTTGTGTTACTAATTGTCCAGCAAATAGAAATCTCACCATCTTACTTGGACAGGAAGGACTGGGAGAACGCCGAGGTCCAGGATTCTACCAAGGGTACTTAACTACTTCTTTAGCTATTTTTTAAAACCTGAAATGTTTGACTCTAACTTTTTATGGGAAGTAATTTCTGCATTTGTAATATTTGAAATGACAGTAAGAGAGCTAAGAGTAACTCACACTGCATGTACTGCATAAGCTGTAACTATGTTTATCATGCAGAACACATTAATAAATCAGAATAGCTCCTATAAATTTAGAGAAACAAGGAAGTTACTGGTTCTGGAAATAAGTATTTTCTTACAGGAAATTGTTTACATTTAAATGTTGATAATAATTTTCTAATTCCATGAAGCAGATTTATATATTAATGCTATTAGTGCTTTTTAAGAAAGAGATTTCTAGCAGAATCTTCAAACTTCTTGATACAACCTCCAGCTTACTTAAAATTTAAGGAGGTATTAATGAAAAGTATTCAAATTATACCATTTTTCAAATATGTCTGTTTATGTTACATGTGACAAGTTTGACCTTAGTTTTCCTTATAGTGTATAAAAATGTGATTTTTCACAGAAGGTAAGGCAAAATAATTTTATATGGCTTAAAACTACTGTGTAGCATAATCTAGAAATGCAAATTTAAATTTCCTTGATTGAACAGGAGAGCATACTTGTTTTATTATATTAGTTCTAATTTAAATTTTTTTGAAACGTGAATTATTTTTCATTTTTGAAATGTCAGGATATTTTTCAGCATAAGGAGCTCATATTTTTCCACTGTGTTATGCCACTCAGTTTACTGAATTTAGTGAGCCAACATTGGTGTTAAAACCACGTGGAGAATCTGGTACTTACTTCCCTGTGTCTGAAATCTGAAAAACAACGTATAAAATAAGAAAAATACCACAAACAAAATTATAAAAAGTTAACTAAGCAATGGCAAAAATAGTCTGTAACTTTGTGTACTGTGGGCTGCATTTTCTGTTGCTTTTCTAGTATTTTTTGTCACCCTGAAAGTGACGCAGCTGCCAGTTTACTAGTCATGCCCAGTTACTGCATAATCTGTGCTGAACCCTGGTGTAAATGACTGAGAGCAAACTATGCTTAACTACCTATGCCCAGCTGGTGGAAGATGATGTACTCTCATGTGTGCGGATGTTGCTATGAGGACCCCTCCAACTAAGGGAAAACCATAATAATCTGCAGGAATTGGGTCTATATTTCTATATTAGACTGGCAGGTACCCAGTTTGGCTCCCACTTTACAGTGACTTAATTTGACTGATTTCAGATGTATTTATTCTGGATTTCTATCTGGGGACATAAGAGCCTAGATCCTAATGCGCGAAGGCCACGCAAGGAATCAGGACAATAGGGGCTGTCTGTGTGGGAAAATTAACTGGACTAATTTCTCAGAGTATATTGTGATCTGGAATACCAGTCATTTTAACTGTAGAATATGAGTGAATTTCTAGAGAGGAGTGATTATTGTAGAATAAACTCATTTGTAGTACAGAACAAAGTGTACAGATGGGTAACTCCTGTGGAATTGCTTATCACAGAATGATATTCTAATCAGCTTTCCCAAGTAGATGAACCCACAGGGCAGATGGCTTATCTCTTCTGTTCCTTGTCAGTTTAGCTGTACATGAATGCCCTAATGAGAACAATATGGACAAAAGTTAGTAAGAACTGGACGGAAAACTAAGTGTATTTAGTGTGTATCCAGAAAAGTTTAAAACAGTAACAAATTTTTATCATTACTGAAGAACTGTGACCCAAATGTGAAATAAAGTGGATTTTAAAAGCAGAATCAATCCTTTCTTATATTCCTTATCTAATTTTTTTTCCTGACTAGTAGGCTAACATCTATTTGGCATTAATATATCAGAAGTCAGTGAGTTTTCAAGGATAAAATGTTTGATATACCAAGCTTTCAAAAATGTAATCATACCTCTTAAAGTTAGGTAATTATAATGTCTCTAAAATCCTGTAATTTCTCTTCATTACTATATAGTATGAAACTTGTGGGTATGAGGAAAAGACTAAATCTTGGAATATAAAAGTATTCAGACTCATTACTCGTTGTACATAGAAAACTCATCACCAAAATTATGAGTTTATACATTTTAAACATGTTAAGATAATAAACATACATAAATAAAAATAGTATAGTCACAAAAGGAGCATTGTAACATGAAAATTACTGAAATTACCCAAATCTCAGAGTATTATACAGGAATTTTCAAGGGATCTTCTATCTTGCAGTCGTGATGCAAGAAGGTTCCACAGAAGAGCTCCACAGCAGCCAACCATGTGAGAGCAAACTAAACGAGCATGCTGGACTACTGATCAACAGAAGCAGAAAGACAATGGTGACAGGAGGTGGAGGCTACCTGGGATACAATCTGGGATGTGCTCTTGTTAGGTCAGGAATTGCTGTCGTTCTGTTTGATGTACGGAAACCTAGATGGGAAATTCCAAATGGAGCAGATTTTTTCAAGGTATGTTGAAATTACATATTTAACAGCAGTGAAATAAAGTTCTACTACTTTTATGCACATTAGCAAGGCTTCCTCTTAAGGAGTTTTGGTAAAAGCTTTTGCTGAAAAGCCTTTAAGGACAATAATAAGTCATGGTAAAAGGTCCTCACGTGCCTAAGTAACTGAGTAAGAGACAGCAAACAGGAGTCCAAGTGGTCAGTTCTGAAGAGTCCTGTGTTGGGAGTGTCATTCAACGCATTCATAGCTCACCTAAGTGAAGGAGTGAACAATGAAGTGATGAAGTTTACTGCTCAGGGAAATTATTTTGAGTAAAAAGGTGAGAGCAAGACAGGGCAATAAAAGTGATCATAAATGTAGAATGACTGCTGCACAGAGAATGATTGAGGAAACTAGGACTTTCCAGTCTGGGAAAGCGATGACTTGGGAGCAGGAGAGCTCCACAAACTGTGAATGGCATTGAGATGGATGGGGATTGACCGTTCACTGTCCTGTCCCGTACAAGAAAGAAGGGCCATCAAGTGAAATGAGGAGGAGTCAGTTCATTACAAACAAGAAGAGTTTGTTTTTTCATGCAGTGGGTAAAAGGCATGTCCAAAGCGTCGCCAGAAATTTACTTCCATTGGAGATTACTAAATAGGTAAGCTAAATTAGGCTCAAGAAATCTTCTGAATGAAAATACTTGAAGACTGGAAGAGTATTCTGGGGGCAAGTGTCACATATGCTTGCCCTGTTCCTGCTCTTCCCAGGGCACCCGTCTGTGATCACTGATTCCTTTTCATTCTTAACAATTCAAGGAATTTGTTATGTCTGCAAAAGAGGGGGAATGAAAGAGACCTCAAATACTTAACGGCTCACAGCCATCTGTGGAGGACAGCATCCCCCACTACTCCCTGATGTGGGGAGCACCAACTCCTCACAGCTGCTTCGCCCACTCAGCTTTGGGGGTCTGCATGCACGGGGGGGCACTAGCAGTGTGTGCGCGCTCCTGTCCCCTTGTACAAGTTCTGGCTAGACACAGAGTGTCGTTCAGCTGATCTTGTCTGAGCGTTTAGTGCAAGAACTCATTGACACCACCACTGGAACTAGAAAGTTGATCGCAAAGCTGAAAGTGATCACGGGATCTTTGTCCCAGGGTCTATCGAGGCGATGCCAGATTTTCTCCTGGCGACATCACCGTGTGGGACAGGCAGTAAGGGAGGCAAAGGGGGATGCATGATACGGCTGGGTAGTGGGCAGAATACCAGGTTAAGCAGATCTTTTGTCTGACCCAGGATGGGTGGTCTTAAGTTCAATTTCATCAACAGCTTTTACAGAATATGGAAGAGAGAGAAAGTATTATTGAGGAACCATTCAGAGACCATAAGCTTGATTTGTTAATGATATAAATCCACATAGTTTGATTTAAGCTGGTGGGTTGATGGCAATTTGCATCTTCTAAAGGAGACTCAAGAGATGTGACAAACGATCTTCTGAGAATGTTTTTTTTATAATTCAATTTTAAAAGAATATGTATTACAAAGTGTAGGTGAATTACCTAGAAAATGGAACTACCGAGTCCTAGTAAATAAAGTAATGAGTCACTTCAGGGATCTGAGCCTTGATCAGTGATTCAGAGATTGCTAATATTGTTCATACTGGTTAGCTATTTTAGTATTTGATTGAAGGTAGGAAGTGTAAGTCAGCCATATTTATGAAACACTTTGGCAACCTCAAAAGAAAAAAGTTGAGAGTTAAAGACTGATTAGGGTACTTCTTAATATTTCCTCCAGCCATTTATTTTGTGTTTATTCTATTTCATTACAGTAAATTAAATAATATCTAATGTTTTGAAATATCATACTTCTGAAAAAAGGTATTATATTTTTATTGATATCTGTATGTATGTGAAGTATTATTCACATAGTATTACCTGATATACAAAAATGCAATATAATATTCTAAGCACAGCATAGCATTTGATACTAGATATAGTGTGTGTGTATTTAATACAGTACAGTGTTCAGTAGTATATAGCATTTCATATAATGCAATTATAATACACTAATGTATACTAATATAATATTAAATGCATGTAGTGTGTATTCTTTTGTTTCAATCTTGTACAAAACTGTAATTAAATTTATCATGCGGTGCTCATAAAACAAAGCTTAGATGGGCAAAGAGCCGTTTGTCCAGATTGCACAAGTCAGATCTTAAAGTGCTAACAGAAGAGGGGTTCTCTTATTTGGTGATTCCACGGCAAACAGCTGGACCCTTCCTGCTGTGATTTTTTGTTCTTGGGGCTTGATTCTCCAGCCCTCAAGCATATGCTGCTCCCATTCAAGTCAAACAAGTTTTGCCAGCCTGCAGGCTGCAGGACTAAGTGTGAAAATACGCATTATAATTGAAGCTAACAAGAGTCATATTTGTTTTGCAACAAAACACTGACAAAATTCTTAGTCATGGCTTTTTCTCCACTTTTATAATGTTTTATTTAATGCTAGTTAAGTGTTGTGAGAAATAGATCAGAATTACTTTAGATTTTCCTTAATAGCCATAGTTAGTACTAATTCTATAGAGAATGTAATGAGCTCTACCAGTCAAAAATCCATTCTTTTCTCATTTTTCAGGGTGATGTGAGGGATTATGATGCAGTGTTCAAAGCATGTGAAGGGGTTGACTGTGTTTTTCATGTGGCTGCATGTGGAATGTCAGGATTAGAACAAGCAAGTATAATTTTCCTAACATTTTCTTTCGTTATTCTTGTGAAAGCAAAAATTTGTCTGCATGTAGCAAAGAATGTAATTATATGATATTCATGTCAGACAGAAGTTAGTTATAAAGGTCAAGTCATCCACACAAGCAACAAGGGAGGTATTCCTTAAATAATAAATGTCAAATCATGAAACTGACGTACTACACAAAATTCTCTAGAAAAATGAGATCATAGATTTAAGATCTTTGATAAGAAGTCATAGCCTTTTTCTCTAATCTGAAGAAGCGTGACAATATTGCTCTAGAACTAATGTTTATGCGTTTTCTTCTTGTGAACTCAGTCATGAGAAAACAGACCAGCAACCCTATATAGTTATGCTAAATAACAGTGATATTCACAGAGGGTGTTATCAAAAAAGTCATGAAACTACAAATCTGTTTCTAGGAACAAGACAGATTGCCACTGGAAAAAGAATCTGTGAAAGCTTTCAGGGAGCACAAGCCCTGCCTGTAATTTTTGCTTCTATATTATGGATTATCTGGGGTGTGACAAAAAATTGAAGCATTATAATTTCCTTTCAGATGCATTTTATCTTTCATTTTTCAGCTTAATTTATTCATACACTGAACAAGACAACAAAAATGAGAAGGGCTAGAAATCGTTGTACATGGCAAGGACAGAGAACTGTAACACATATATCACAAAAAGTCCACAGCTCTTCTAGATCTGGCAATTGTAACAATCATATTGTGAATGTGACTTGTTCAATTAATTAGATGTTGTGCAAACTCTATTTCTAGCTTCAAAAGAAAGACCAGATTGAATCCATAAATGTCGGAGGCACAAAAATAATAATTGATGGTACGTACCTAGATTTTCTTTCTTTGCATCTGATCCAAACCATGAATTAAAAATGTCTAATTGGATGTTTTCTGTGTTGATTTGGCAGTAAAATGAGGCTCTTCCGTCCCTCCTTTCAGAGTTATGATGGAAAGCTAGGTGTGCAGGTCCCATTAAAACTGGTAGATTTGCCACTGGTTTGAACTGGGGATAGGTTTTCAACCTGGACTTCATTCCTTGGCAGACCAACTTAAACTGTCCTCCACGTACTGGTTATTTTTTCCCTTTACTCTATGTAATGGAGAAGTGTTATCCTCTTTCCTTATAGAAGTAACATGAGAGATACTGTACTGTTTGTTGTGTTGTAAACATTTGGTAACAGAAGCCATAGATGTGCTAAGTGTATTTAGTTATTATTTTATGACATTAATGTAGAAAATTTTCTGTCCTTTCTGATCATCTGTCTGAATGTGGTCCCCTTTTATTATATACTGATTTTTAACCACTGTCTCTGGAAAATGTTAGTAGATTTCTTTCTGTACATTCAATTCCAGGAAGAACATTTCACAGTGTATTGTAAATACCAATGCTACTTTCTCTTTGCTTTTCCCTCAAAAATCAAATGGCAAAAAAATAAAAAAAGCTAAATGGCAAAAGCAGTTTTTATTTAGACCCATTTTCATGCTGCCTGTGGGTTATTACTGAAAAAAAAAGCAGAAATAATTAGAGTGAAACGGTAAGCAAGTAAAACTCTAAATGAGTTAGAGGGAAGAGGTTGCCACATATTCCCTTCTTCTTACCCCAGCCTCTGAACCCACAGAAACATGTCATGTCAAATTTCCACAGGCTCCCAAAAAAGCAAGAATCTGGGAGGAGCATGAGCCTGTTAATCTACATTTTAATAATAGATTTTATTATTGTATTTTGTTCCAAATATTTACAACACAGTAACTACATTCATTATTTTCAAAATGAGCCAACTGGACTGACTGCTCTGTAGATTCTAAACATTCCTGACTTTGAATATTAATTAACTTATACTTCAGAAGTATTGTTAATTCAAAGCAAATTTATGTTATTCAAGTTTGCAATGACATATATGCAGCAGAATTTAGACATAATGTCTTAACACCCGACTGGAATCCATAATTAAGACTTTGTTTTGTAAATAATATTGTTTTCATTTGTATTTAAGGTACTGCTGATTATACACTAACTGCGTATGTTTGCTGCTAACATGTCATTTGTCATTTATGAACAGATTGAGACAAATGCAGTTTTGTCACACATCGGAGAGAGCTAGCACATTTTCTTATACAGCTTTAGTTACCTGCACAGGCAACCATGAAACTGTGGTGCAAGAAGCAGTACAGCTTACTGCTCACTGCTGAAATCTGGGCAAAAATACTGCTCCACAGACAGGCTGCTCTTTACAGTACTACCCCTACAGAAGGAAGCAGGGAGTTTTCAGTGCTATTTGGTCACAAGAAATGTTCTTACTCATCTCCTTTTTATTCAATTTACAAAATGAATATGTTTTAAGAAATGTTCCTGAAGTAAAGGAGAATTCCCCCCCCCGCCCCACCAAGATAATTCCTCTATCCAGCTGATGACTACAATCCAGTGGTGATATGATAGTTGCAGGTACCTAATCATAAAACATTTGGTGACCACAACATGTCATATTTACATAGCAGATATTTGGGATGAAAAATTCCACCTGAATGAAAGATAATATTATATTAAATGATAAGTTAATGTTAAAATTACATTTATAGAAAAAGTAGTATTTTAATGTTTGTTTTCAAAAAGAGAAGCTGCCAGTTCATGTGTTGCTTCTCAGTCTTTATTTTTGTTTTAAAATAATTTATTTTGTATACCATTGTAGTCTGCAAACAAAGAAATATCTCTAGACTGATATACACCAGTACAGTGAATGTGGTATTTGGAGGGAATCCTATTGAAGAAGGAGATGAAGAAACTGTGCCGTATTTTCCACTGGAAAAGGTACTTTGTTTGTGTGATGGCATGGCATTTACTGTGCTCTAAAGGATAGATTATGTGAAGACTGTTCTGAGCGCAGAAGCTGTTTTACTATAGATCGCATCAAATTCCATGAAATTATTTTTCATTAATAAAAATTGACCCATGATGAGTGAAGAAATATTCAAATCATAGTGGCTTTAATCTGCTATAACTAGACAGATGTGAGATGATAAAATACCTAAAAATTACTAAGAAAAGTGGAGTGTGACATTTAATAAGAGTATTTTAAGAGGAAGGGCTTTCAGGGGACCATCCGCTATGTAAATACTGAAGAGCCTTTGCATAGAACAGTATTGTTAAATAAAAAATTCTACATCTTTATCACACACATTTTTGCTTCTTTGAAGTTCCCAAACTTTGCTTTCTTGCTGCAGGCCAGGCAGTAGTTACAGTCACCACAGGGCAACTCCAAAATACCATTTTCTTCTTTACTGTGATCATTTAGGAAACATTTTCTAGCTGAAATCTGAAACTCACTCTTCCCACTTGTTCCTTCCTGCTCCCAGTACATGGCCTGCAGTTAAAAGCTATAATTTTAGAATGTACATCCTGTGTCCAGGAATTCTAAATAGGACTGACTACTACTCTGTTGGTGCCTCCTGAAATACTTAGTTGGATATGTCAGTTTGTGCACAGCACCTCAGACTTCTGAGAAAGCATTTCAGGAATTTGCAATTAGTTGCATGTGTCTGAGCCCTAATCATATGTTTTCTGTAATGGTGATCATGTAATAGCAAGCAGCAGGGGTAGGTGGAGCAGGTGGATTAAGCCGCCTGAGAGTAGAAAAATTTTCCATGGTGGGATTTTTAGGTATATTATGCAATATAAAGTGTGGCAATATGAAATTCAACAGATACATAAATAACCTCATGTGGATAAGTAATCATTAAACCAGCATGTGCTAACTCTGTCCAGAATCCTATTGTTTAAATACACTTCAGTGCAATTTTTAAAGTTAATAGTAAAAGATACAGCTGGGAGAGAATTATTTATAACTTCCCAAATAGCTTCAATAAGAAATTGAAACATTCTTAGGAAAGTCTGAATGTTTAATTTCATATTTAACTTACTGTTTTAAAAAACTTTTTCCAATTCAAAATGGATGTTTTTTCAAAACAAACTTATCTGACCCACCAGAACATTTGGCTTGGTATTAATTTTTTCATTACATCCAGCACAAAAAGTGAGTTTAGTAAATACCAGTGGGCTTAAATTCATTCTGAAGCTAAAGTTGTGCAACTAAAATGTAAGTCTGATAAGTTTCTTTGTCATAAACAAAATATATATTTGCTATATCTTGTTGTTATTTCTAGTTTGGTTTTACTCAGCTGATGTCTACAAGCTGGCTCGATTTAAATGTTATCAGACATAAACAGTAAGTTTGCCTTTACAGATGCAATAATGTGATTAAAATGTTGATCATATTCTGTCTTTCTTTATAGCAATTTAATCATTATTCTAGAACAAAGGCAATTGCAGACCAAATGGTTCTTGCTGCTAATGGAACTTTACTCAAAGGTACATATAAAACATTTGGGGTTTTCCTATCATTGGTATTGCTAATGGGTATTCCATTCTCTGGTTACTCATTTTTCAATAGTATACTTTAACTGCAATAAGGATTTATTTTGTTTGTTTCTACTCCTCCCTTCGGTGGATGATTAATTTTTTTATGTGTATACCCAGACAGATGGGAGATTATATGCAGACAATAGATGGGAAAATTCAGAAAATTTAACCTTACTTCTTCCAATCGTCTTAAAAGTTTACCAATTTTACAATAGGTACAGGATTTGTGGTTTTATTCCCCGTTCAGTCTATCACTTTGAGCTTCTCTGATAATACCAATCTCTAAGCACTGTCCAATAGGTCATTCTCATAATCCCTAAAGGCTTGCATGTGTCTGGCAAGAATAAGTGCAGTTTCTTAAACAGATTGGCAATATCAGGGTCATGTTAACTTCTAAAGTCACACATGCATGAATAGCTGTGGCTAAAAATCTATCTGTACATGGCAAGGGAAATATTTATCTTTGCTTTTACATGCATATTTTGCTATTCCTACCGATTTCTCTCAAATGAAGAGCTGGCAAACATAAATTAGGTGGGGATTCAATTTTAGCACCCTCGATTAACTACTGAGCAAATGCCTACCACCTGTTATACTTGCCCACATAAAAGGTGTAATTGTGCCTGTTCTCAGGAATCAGAAGATTCTGCTTACTGATTCACAAGTAGAGCTTAAAGTATTCATTTTGATTTAAAATATTCTAACTAATTTGAAAGCCTCTGTTTAAGAGACGTCTTCCATTACTTTGTGATGCAAGCAAGCAAGGTGTCTAAATGTAGCAAATTGTATTATCTTCTTCCAATATTGCATGTGTCTACAATGATGGACAAATATGTATGTTATAAACTTACATCTATAATAAATAGAAAAAGTCAATCAAGCAGGAGGCATATCTATAGAAAAGTTTGATTTATCCTGTCCCTATTCAAACTCTTCTGTGGTCAGAGGGATTCAGTTTTTCAGGCTGCTAAGCTAGGGTCTTTCACTACTATTGAATTCAATTTTATACAAAAATGAAAACAAGTTACCAGGAAGCCAAATCATATAGAATGGTCAGACCGATCCTTTACTTTCACAATGTAAAATTCAGACAATATATGTCAGCCATATGTTGATATCAAAGCTACCTGAAAATCACGTTTTGTTCTCTCTCCAAGGAGGTGGTAAGCTCCATACTTGTGTGCTTCGTCCACCAGGCATATATGGACCAGAAGAGCAGCGCCACATGCCACGAGTAGCTGTACGTGTTATGTAGTCAGCTCTGGAGGACACTACAAGTAGTTGTAAGGGCATAACACAAGTAGAAGTATCTTGATGACGATTCTTAACAATTCCTCCAGGAAGGCCATTGTGAAAGCTTGGTGACAGGTCAGATGATGCAAGGTAACAAACAGCATGATAGCAGCATTGCAGAAATGGCAAGGATCAAGCAGTACTTTTAAGTGAAAAGATAAAAAGGCAAGGCTGAAATGCCATGCCAGAAGAACTAGGTTTGCATCCCTGATTGTTTAATGGAAATATTGTCTTTTCAATATGCACTTTAGTTTCAGCCAAACACTGTAATGTCACCATATTTGACTATTAAGTATCGCTGCAACAGTCCTTGATTCATAAAACCACCAACTAGCTGTTCTGGGGTTTTTTGCGACACATTTCTTGTGCTGTAACTGTACACAAATACAGCAAATTCCAAGTATTCAGGCTGAGCTAAAATGAATACTTTATACTGCATAATAAAAGAATAACATAGTTATTCCACGTTTTCTGTTTCTACAGGCAAATATCCAGCGGAGACTATTTAACATCACGTTTGGGAATCACAAAGTTCAGATGAACTGGGTTCACATAGGAAATCTAGTACAAGCTCACTTACTAGCTGCTGAGGCTCTCACCTCTGAGAAGGGTTATGTAGCTGTAAGTAAACAATATAAACATTGCATCCCAGTAGCTTTAGCTCTCAAATAGGTTTAATTTCTGATCTTTCGAGATCAAAGATTCTCCGAAAGGTCGTGTGCTAAATTCTCAAAAATGTTTTGTGGCTCCACAAGCACATGGACAATGCAAATGCAAATAAATTCTGCTAATATTTTGATGCTGTTTTCTTCTGTTTTGAAAATATATCATTTCCTGTTTGATTGGAGGAAATAGCATTTTTAACCAGGTTAATATATTCACCATCATACAAATCTATATATTCTGTTATTCTTTTGAAAATAGATTCTGATTCCAGATGCATAAAATTTAGAGCAACCATTCTGAGGCATTCCAGTTTAATTTTCAGGGTTGAAAATTCCAAAAAGAGATGTACAAAATTAATGGACAATTTTAAAAGGTTTTTCTTTTTCTTCTACTGGTCCTAATTGCAACAACAGTTGGAGGACTGTGAAGAATTACAGGACTGGCAGTGTTGCAGCAGCTGCTACATTCACAGCTCCTGAAGGCTCCAGCTTCATTTATATTGGTAGGAACATATAGACAACAGGTACAGACATGTGCTGTCAACTAGTTAAGTGCTTGGAAGCTATGCAGCTGTTTTAGAGTGACGTAATGCCCAAACTCCCAGGGTCTGCTTGGGTGCTCAGGGGTTCATAGTGCTCACAGTTGGATGGACTCCTCACCCAGAGCATAGTAGTCAAGGAATTGTTGCCTGCACATTTAGAAGGCTGGAGGAAGATAGACTGGAAGCCAAAAGTGGATTCAGGCACTGTGACATGTCCCACAGAATGTAGGTACTGAATTTGTTTTAATTAGAAAATTAGCCAGAGTTGGAGCTTGACCTCAGAAAGCTGTGCTTATTAAATGCTGTCAGTGTTGCCACTTCAGTTGGCCTCATGAAGATAATTCTGTCCTCCGCACATCATGAAGAACTTAATGCTCTAACAGTTGGGTTACTACGTAGTGAAACCAAGCTCTGATCTACATTACACCATGGTTAATCATGATTAGCTCTACTACCACCACGGGGTTACCCAAAAGTATGAGACATGTTTGAGATCCCAGTGAAGTCCAATGAAGGTAGTTCGCTGAGATGATTTGTGTACATTCACCGTATGCATGCTGGTGTGTTATTCACAAAATCAAGAAAGATGGGTAGGTATGAGAGAGAAAGGAAACGCCATCCTATGTATAGTGTTTTTCTAATTGTTTTTCTCTGCTTCTTTAACAGAGTGGTCAGGCGTATTACATACATGATGGTGAAAACGTGACATTTTCTGAATGGATAGTCCCTTTAGTATGTATTGTACATACATTTAGCTCTAATGCGCCGTTATGGGCCCTATTCATATTGTTAACTAAAAGACCATACTAACTAAATGAAGTTCAGTACAAGTTAATTACTGAATTATTTAATGTTAAAGTCAGTCCTGTTCTCCCTCCATATCCCAAAGTTCCACTGGCTTTAAGGGAAGTTTTGGAGATGCGTAACTGTGTTTGGCCCTTATTTTTTTGAGAGAATTTAGCTGAGAGTTATAGAACCTGCTACAGAACAGCAGCATTTCTGTAAAGCAAGCTCACAGTGCACGAAAAGTTCTACTACTAGTATCTGTCAGGCCTTTTATAACCGTTGTTTATTTCTTTGTTCTGCCATCAACTGCAGCACAAAAGGGAAGGCCATTTAGAATCATATCTTAAAAGCTAAAAAGAGGCAACGTTATATTTTCATAAACATCAGGCTGGGATTTTAGGAGCATGCTAAAGTTGTGACCCTGCAATGCCAACACAGAAAAGTCTTCCAGGAAAATTATTGCAGTAGTATGATGGGCCTGTATCTAAATGTAGTTAAGTATTCTAGCCTCAGTCACCTGCCCCTGGGAAATAGCATTGTTTCCCCTTTACCATCCAATTGCATTTGAAGGGTGGGAGGTGGGCACAGAATAATGAGTGGTGGGTTTTAATTGGGTTTCTTACGACCAGTATTGATAGGAACATTAGCTAGAAAAAAGTTTAGATATGTGTTTTATCAACATTTATTTTTCCATTTTCATGCTTCATTGACACCCTCAATTTGATACAAATTCTCTGTTATTCTTTCCTTTTATACCCCTTCTAGTTTGAAAAATTAGGCTACAGGAAACCCTGGATACACATTCCTGTTCTCCTGGCTCATATAGCAGGTAAAAATAATAAAATACATACTTAATTATTGTGCTATTTATTTTTTTAATTTTTTTTCTTATTCCTATAAAGCTACATAATGGTTTTATAAAATGCAGTAACTCAAATTGTAGGAATTATATAACTTAATATTATTCTAATTAATAATAATCCCTTATGCCATTTGGCATTAATTATACCAGATAAAGTTTAAAGGCCATCCATAAACTGAGTCTGTCGTGTACTTTATAAATTAAACACTGCCTTCTACCACCTTAATTGCATCCTCTGATATCAGTAGGAATTATAGGGTGTGCAATGTCAGCATTATCTCAGTTTATTGTTATCCAGCTGTCTCATTAAGTAACTTTCTGTTCCACAGCCACCGTGATGGAATATTTGCACCTGATACTAAAGCCAGTTTTTAGCTTTACACCTTTCTTGACAAGGAATGAGGTAAATGTATAAAAAGAGAGAATGTTTATGTATTTCTGACCTAAATTCTCATGAAGTACATGATACACCCTTTGGATGCAGAGAGGATTGTCTGCATTAGAGCTCTGTTTTTCTGCTCAGAGTGTAGTCCATTCAGGGCATACACAGTCATTTTGTAGCCTGATTTTTCCATGCCATCCTGGCCACCCCTTAAAAAATCATCAGACATTAATCCTTACTTGAAGATTAGATGATCCAGAGAAACATCCTAGTGGTGCAAGACAGAGTGACTGACATGGAGCTGGCACAAAGAGGAAAACAGGCACTACACTGTCGGTTCCAGCAAGCTGTCCTATGCTGTGGAACTACTTGTTAAAGGAAGGTGGTCCAAGAGAACAGAGCAAGAGCATCGTGTCAAAGTGGTAGCAGTTATCATAATACCAGGCTAGCAAATAATCAGAAAGTTCGATAAAAATAATTCTAAATTGGAATGAAAAGTCAATTTTCTGCAAAAACAACAACTTCTGGACAAATTCATTTTGATCTAACTTATGTTTTTGTACAATGTTATGATTTATAATATAAGCCAAGACGCTTTAACTAATCTATCACCCAGTCTCTTACTATATTGTAGCACATAACATAATAGGACACTGAAGGGACTGAATGGTCCTCATTAACTTCTGCTGTAGCTTTTCAGTTGTTCCACAATTCATCTATCTGTTTTTATACTTACTTCTATATTCTATATAGTTCTATATCTGAAGCGGAAATCACTGAGACTATGCAACTTAGGCACTTTCACAGGTACCATGCATTCAGAGGTGGAGAATATAACTCTCCAGAAGTGCATGTTTTCCACTCCTTAGCTAATGCATTTCTGCAAAGTTGAGAAGTCACACCACTCTCCTCCAATACACTCGTCCGGTTCCATTGCGCGTTTCCCCGCACAGAAGAGCCAGTTGGAGGGAACTGTGCTGATCTCTTGCAAGGGATTTCTTTAGTTCTTTATCTCACATTCACAAGTGAGAAATCAGTGTCATAAACTCCTTCTGCACCCAGTCCACCAAGCATTGTCCCTTTCCCTGTCAGCTACATCAACTCATTCTGTTAGCTCTGGACAGAATCCCACTCCAAAATGTTACATTTTTGTGTGTCTATCTTTATTAATGTTTTTAATTCCATTGTAATATCATTGTTGATGTATTTTCATCCAAGTTCTAGAAAACCAGACATTAAAGTCGCTTCCATAAATGTCCTTTTGGATTTTAGGTGTGGGACGTTACTGTAACTCACACTTTCCGAATAGACAAGGCACGAAATCAACTTGGTTACAAACCAAAGAAATTCTCATTCGCTGATTCTGTGGATCATTATCTTAAAACAAGACCTACTTGCCAAGAAGATCACAATTTCCTTAAAATGGTGTTTGCTTTTGGCATTTTGTTAAGTTTGATCATTCTTTCTTTCTTCTAAAATTGAGTAACTACCCACCTGTTCCAGAAAACCTAATTTTGTTTCTGAGTATTAATGATCTGGTCGTAGTACATTCCTCAGTCACTATGGACTTTACTATTCTTATGATGATGATGACATCTCGCTGATCTTATTAACAACAACAACAACAACAAACCACAAAAGTGAAAACACAGGATGCATCAGGAAATGTTCCCAAAGAACAATGTAGTGTCACAATATCAAAGGAGTTCACCGCTAACAGGTGCAGGAATAGTTTTAATGGATCTTCATTAATTGATTGCTTTATGCTAAGAATGATTTCCTAAAAATGATAATTCAGGAGGGTAAGAATTGGAAGAAGAGGGACCATTGTAGGACTGCAGTGCTGTAACAAGTCCAGTAGCTCCAATGAAGAAAAGGTTGATTAAACAATTCTCTGATGAAGCTGCTGCTACAGCTACTGTATGTTAGTATGAGGAATTATGAAGACCTGGGAAATAGTACAAAAAAGATGAAAAGTAAATATTTATAAATAACAGGTGGTGAGAGGACTGAAAGTCATATTTATGTAAAATAGTTTTATTATTCAAAAGGTTTGTAAAAATGTAATAAATAACATTATGTGTGTTTGTAAATCAAATAATATCCTTTCAATGCAATAATAAACAATAACTGAACCCAATACTGGTTTTAAGGAGCCTGTGGGAAGGTGGAGGGAGGGCACATAAGACCTCGGACTTCAGCAAGCTGTTTCTGCTACCTTGTGTTCTAAGTGAAGCCAAGTCAGGCTGTCATCTGTAATCCTGTACCGGTGCTGGCACACTCCGTTTGTTCAGCAAATTGCCATTTCAGGGTGAGCAGGCAAGCCAAGCACCAAGACCCGAGTCTTCCCCCTTCTTAAGACTTACATTAGTTGCTTCTTGGGTGGATTGTACTACCTGAGCTGCACATGCTACATGTGTGCTACATGTACACGTACCATGTGTAGCTCAGACAAATTTTCATAAGGTTACCTGTCACAAGGATTTTCTCAGGGACCAGCTTGGCTCTCATCAGGGAGCAGCTGCTCCCTCTCTTGCACCCCACATGGATCAGGAGAGCTGGACTTGCCAGGGTGGGTCACAGAACAGAGTGATGGAAAACCTCTGCCATCTGATTATCGCTACTCTGTATTTATCTTGCCTGTGTTAGCATTTTACAGGATTTTAAGACCAGTAAGTTTATGGAGACTCTCTCATTGTATCCTTAAATGTACAGGGTACACAGGACAGCTTACAGCAACCCTACAAGAATAAAACATTATAAGAAATAGACGGTATACGGTGACAGGAAAATGTGTGAGCAACCACAGTTACCAGTGCAGCTTATGTGAGCAAAGACTTGTTTTACTCTATTTATTCTTTTTCTTCTCTTTAAACAAGTAGTTGTGTGTGGAGTGAAAGCAGTAAAGCCTGGTCTCGTACGGCTTTGCATGTGAAGATTGTCCTTGTCCGTACAAACTGAGCTCACACTGCACACCTTCCTTTAGCAGGGGCACTGCTCAGCCCTCTCTCCTATGACTACCTATTGTCTGGAAACTTAAAGAAACTCAGTATATATGAGATCTTTATCCAAGTTTGATTAAAACTAGTAAAGTTCACAATTTATCAATATAGAGGTGCAGCTGACTGACAGACAAGCAAGCACTACAGGAGGTACTGCGTAGGCCTTGTTTCTCTAGAAATGCAGAACAGAAAACCCCAAGTGTAAAGTTACTTCCCAGCGTGAGCATTTTAAGTGTATGCAAACATTTAATTTGCTTTAAATTAGTTATTTATGAATCTTTCATATATTGCTTTTATTAGACTAATAGCTCAGGACTGCATCCCGGATTATGCCAACACTTTTCAGAAGAGATGTCGAGCAGTTGACTGCAACCCAGTGAGAAGTGCAGGCTGTGGCCTTTTTTTGGATACTCCTCAGTAAGGACTAACCGAGGAATTCTCTGGCTTTGTAGTTGCAAGTCCCCGTAGAGTCACACCATTCCAGTCCCGTAATGCCAGACCTCTGATTGTTATTTCAGGCAAGATGCTTTTTACATCACTGTTATGACAGTATTGATTAATACTAACTGGCTTTGTTCAACTGATTTATCATTATTACAAATCCAGTATTTGAAGTTTTAAGACAGCTTTTAGTATCAGTTTGGGAGAGCCAGCTGTCTCATTTCTGTCAGTCTTTACCGAGTCTTAGTTTAAGCTGGCTATCGTTGGAGTTACTTTTGCTCTAACACAGTTGCAAGTGTGTCTTTAAATGATTAAAATTTAATATGAACATTCAGACATGGCACAGCTATAACGGCAGAGGTAAACGTGTTCAAAGTTTAATTTTTGCCTGGGATGGAGAACTCTGAAATTCTGCAGCTCCTGACCCTTTTCACATCGTCCCAGGCACGAGTGACCACAGAGCTGAACAGAGACCCACTGCCGGCTCAGGAGGGCAGGGACCTTGGTGCCTATTTGTTTGTGTTTCCTCTTCGGGGATTCCAGCTGTTTTGCAGGTGTTTCTGATGCTCTGCATCTCTCTGAGCCGTGTCCCATCACCGACTATCCAGCCGGTAATCAAGAGATGGTGTGTTTTTCCTGAACGACCTGTTCAACAGGTATCAGTGTGGACGGAGCCCTAGCTACAGACAGGATGCTTTCGCGCAGTGGTCGCAGCTGTATGAAGACGCATGGAGGTAAGAGCCGCCATCGGATGCTGTGGGATCCCAGGGATGCTATGGGATCCCAGGGATGCCGTGGGATGCTCTGGGAACCCAGGGATGCTGTGGGATGCTATGGGATCCCAGGGATGCCGTGGGCTCCCCAGGATGCTGCGGGACGGGCAGAATCCCAGGGATGCCATGGGATGAGCAGCATCCCAGGAAGACTGTGGGATTCCAAAGCTCCTGCAAAATGAGTGGCGCCCAGGGGTGCTGTG